CTGAATCCCAAAACATATGTGCATGACCCATGGACATGGACTGCCAGAGGGAGTGAGGTGGGGGGAGGGGAGAACCTGGGGGGAGGGGAGCAAAGGGTGGGAAATTGGAACTGTAAACTGAATCCCAGTTTCTATGAAAATGGCGATCTTGAAAGCCTCTTCCAGTGCTGACATCCTATAACTCTTAGCTGTCACCCAGTCCTAAGGCCAGTCACTGTCCGGGACAGGCCTTAATTGTGGTCCACGCAGGGGCTGAAGCATTCTCTCACTGTCTGTCAAAAGCCAGTCTCTTTAATGAATACAGAGATTTCCTTAAAGGGCTCTCTGCACATCCAATCCTCTCTTTCTGTCCCCACTCTCCCTCTCCTTAAACCTGTGGTTTTCTGTTCCCCTCAGGATAAAGTCCTGGCTCCTAAGCCTGGCATTCAAAATCTACACCATGGGACTCATGTACTGGCTTCATCACCCAACCCCCTTCCCTTGCCCCAGCTTCAAACGGCTGGAGAACTGTGGCTGAGCAGGGTTTCTGGGCCCAGGCTCAGACTTCGCACATGAGGTCTTTCAGCCTGTAAACCCCTCTTCACCTTTCCACCTGCTTCCTCCAGGAGTTTCTCCGCTCTCTTCTAGATAGTATCTTACTGTTAACATGCTTAGAAATCACCTGGGAATCTCGTCAGAGTGAAGATTTTGACTCATCAGGCCTGGGGTGGGACATGAGATTCTAACAAGTGCCCAGTGATGCCAATAGGGCTGGTCTGTGGACCACACTTCCCGGAGCAAGGGGATGGAGGACAGGCGCCACGTTTTATACTTGGTGCTAAAAAGAAGCGGTGTTCTGAAAACGTCCAGCGGAGAGAGGTAAGGTGCACAGGTGACCTCTAACTTGTGAGACAGAATTGCATCATGGCTAAGAGAACAGCTGTTCTGACAGTGATGGACTTCCAGTTCAGACCCTGCTTCTGCCGTTGATTAGCTATAGGGCCGTGGGTGAGGGCTGCTTTACTTTTGAGCCTATTTCCTTATTTATAAAGTGGAGCTAATGATACCTTACCCAAAGGGTTGTGAGAGTTTAAAATGGAACATGGGTGAAAAGCACTAGCATAGTCCCTGGCACATAGACTGCTCAATAAATGGTAGTTGTAATTGTTATTTTAAAGATTTTTAGTTATTTACTTTTAGAGAAGGGAAGGGAGGAAGAAAGAGAGGGAGAGAAACATCAGTGTGTGGTTGCCTCTCACATGGCCCCCACTGGGGACCTGGCCCACAACCCAGGCCTGTGCCCTGACTGGGAATCAAACTGGTAAGCCCTGAGTTTGCAGTCCACACTCAATCCACTGAGCTACACCAGTCAGGACACACCTCAGTTTTCTCTATTATCAAAGATAACACCTGACTCAGGGTGTGACAGGAAGATATAATACAATAATGTATATAAAATAGCATTGTTGAAGCTTTACACTGTAATGTTGGGATCGCTGTTAACACCATATTTACTGTTAGAGTTGCCTTGGCTGGTCACTAATTTTCCAAACTGCCTTGTGTTCCAATGTCCGGGTTGGCTACCAAAAAGTGACTGCGTTCTTACACAGCATTTTTAAGACCTTGAATTTGTACTCACTACAACTTAAGAAAAACAAAAAGGTGTTAACTGCTCCTTAGCTGTCATTTAGCCTCTATTAACTTGTTTCCTCATCTATAAAATAATAATGTGATAACTATGGGAGAAGCTGACATTGTCTTTTCCTTCATATGTGCGGAGTATTTATTCATTCATGAAATAATGTATCTAATTGCTTGGCCCACAGAAGACAACTCAGCATCACTTTTGCAGGGATGAGCCTTCTCTTTTCTAAGGAGGGAACCGTATGCCCTCAAAATTCCTCTTCCTTCTACTGTTAATGTAAAATGTTAACATGATCAGTGTTAATAGTGTAAATACGTTTTCCCTTCACCTACCATTTACAAGACATTTTCTGATTTTATCTTCACAAGCCCAGTCTTAATGAACATGGCTTGTTTTCAGTTCAGGCCTCAGAATTGTATTTGGATTTTTACCCTTGCCTTCTTCACAGCTTAAAAATGATAGTTGCTTCCTGAGTACCTCATTCAGTCTTAAGGCTTTAAAAACCATCTCTGGGCTGATGGCTTCCCAATTAACATGTCTGGTCTAGGACTATCTCCTGAGTTGCAGATGTATCAAGAATTGCAGATGTGATCTGAAGCAGGTCTCACCTGTCAACTTGTTCTTCCCCAGCCATCCTGCTAGTTGCCAAATTCAAATCCTTGGAGTAATTCTGACTCCTTTTTCTTTATGTGTCATGTCTAATCTATTTATCAAGTGTTTTCTCAAATGGCAAAAATGTATTCAGAAGCAGACCACTTCCCACCACCTTCACTTCTCACCTGTCACCTGGACCTGAGTCACTGTATTCTCTTGCCAGACACTGCAGTCCAGTAGCCTCCTGCCTCTGCCCTCTTGTCTTCTGCAACCCCAGCAACTTGATGGAGGCTTTTGAAATGAGTCTGATCTGGTCATGTCCCTACTCAAAACCTTCTAACATCTCCTCTAATGGTTCTGCATCTCATTCATATCGCAAGGGCTTAAGCTAAGAGATCCCCTCCAGGAGTACCCCATGGGTTACTCTCCCCCCTCATGCATTCTGCCCTAGGCACTTTCTCTTGCTCTCCCTGGAACTTGCAAAACTCCTACCTCAGGGTCTGGCTGTTCCCTCTCTAGCCTGCTTTCTCACCTCCTTTACATCTTTGCTCATGTTACACCAGTAGTTTCTTAATCCTATTAAATTTGTAGCATCCCGGTAACACCAGCACTCCTTATCCATTCTTTCCAAAAGCAGGAATTAAAAAATTTAATACTGAATCCCCAGTGCCTAGAACAGAGTCTGGCACATTGTATGCCCTTAATAAGTGTTTGTTGAATTCATAAAGAATAGCCAGAATGACGCTGAACATTGTGACATGTGCATTAATGCAGTATGTAATTATCATTATTTTTTATGCTAATGTTTTTCTAAATATATTTTATTGGTTGTGCCATTAGTTGTCCTATTCCCCCTTTCATTCCCCTCCACCCTGCACACCCCCTCCCCCACCATTCCATCGCCTTTAGTTTATGTCCATGTGTCACAAGTTCTTTAGATTCTACATTTCCCATACTGTTCTTGCCCTCCCCCTGTCTATTTTCCACCTACCATCTATGCTAGTTATTCTCTGTACCTTCTCCTCCTCCCACTCTCCTGCTGCTAACCTTCCATGTGATCTTCATTTCTATGTTTCTGCTCCCGATCTAGCTGTCCTGTTAGTTTGCTTTTGTTTTAGGTGTGGTTCTTAATAACTGTGAGTTTTTTGTCCTTCCACTGTTCATATTTTTTATCTTCTTTTTCTTAGATAAGTCCCTTTAACATTTCCTGTAATAAGGGCTTGGTGATGATGAACTCCTTGAATTTGACCTTATCTGGGAAGCACTTTATCTGCCCTTCTATTCTAAATGAAAGCTTTGCTGGATAGAGCAATCTTGGTTGTAGGTCTTTGGATTTCTTGACTTGGAATACTTCTTTCCAGCCCCTTCTTGCCTGTAAGTTCTCTTTTGAGAAATCTGCTCACAGTCTGATGGGAACTCCTTTGTAGATGACTGGCCTCTTATCTCTTCCTGCTTCTAGGATTCTCTCCTTCATTTTAATCTTGCCTAATGTAATGATGATGTGCCTTGGTGTGTTCCTTCTTGGGTCCAATATCTCTGGAACTCTCTGAGCTTCCTGGAAGTCTATTTCCTTTGCCAGATTGGGGGAGTTCTCTTTTATTATTTGTTCAAATAAGTGTTCTACCTGTGGCTGTTCCTCTTCCCCTTCTGGTACCCCTATAATTTCGGATGTTGGAATGTTTAAAGATGTCCTGGAGGTTCCTAAGCCTCTCCTCATTTTTTTGTATTCTTGTTTCTTCATATTTTTCTGTTTGGTTGTTTTTTTCTTCCTTCTGATTCACTCCCTTGATTTGAGTCCCAGTTTCCTTTCCATCACTATTGCCTTCCTGTGCATTTCCCTTCATTTCACTTAGTGTAGCCTTTATTTTTCCATCTAACTTGCGACCAAGATCAACCAGTTCTGTGAGCATCCTGATCACCAGTGCTTCGAAATGTGCATCTGAAAGTTTGGCTATCTTTGGTTGCTTAGAATGATTGGTTCTGGGGCTCTGAGCTGTTCTTGAGCCATAATGTTTTGGTCTGTTCGCACCTGTTACGAATGAGGGGTGGAGTCTTAGGTGTTCACCAGGGCAGGGCCACCCAGGTCACTAGGTTGTGATGTTGTATGTGGGGACAGAGTCAGAGAGGGGCAGTGGCATTTGTTCCGCTCTCTCAGATTTCTGTCCTGTCTGCTGCTTCCCATAAGCAAATTGGGCCCTTCTGGTGCTGGTTCCCAGGTGTGTCGGGTTGTGTACCTTGCAGGACCCTGTGGGTCTCTCCAAGGAACTCTCCCAGCACCTTGACCCCAAAACTCTTTCCCATCGGTGCTTTCAGGCTCTAATTCCCGTCTTTGGGGCCCTAGCTTGAGCGGTCTGTCTCACTGCTTGCTCTTCGCTTGGTTTATCTGCGCGGGAACGTATGACTACGGCCAGCCACCTGCCCTGCGCCCTCACTGGGTCCGCCCATTGCTACCCCATGCCTGTTATTCGCCAACCGCCACCTGTGCTCCTGGGTCGGTCCACCGCTTTTTCCTGCCCAGTCCCACTCTGCGGCTGACTCCATCCCTCTTACCCGTCTGGCTGAATGGTTCACTGTTGTCGGACTTCCATACAGTTCAATTTTCTATGTTTTGGCTGCGTTTTTGTTTCTAAAACTTTGTACGTAATGTAATGCACACTGCCATCCTATGAGGCTGGCATCCTTGCTTTCCTGTTTTACATATGGCAAACAATGATTACAGCTTGTAGGTCCCTAGCTCTCAGGCCCATGGCTCAGGAGTCACATGTCCTCCCTTTCTCCCTAGGTATCAAGTCAGGCACCAGCACCATCTGCTGATCCGGGGCGACCGCACACATGTCCAGACTGTGGCCGTGCTTTTGCACGGCGCTCCACGTTAGCGAAGCATTCGCGCACGCACACGGGTGAGCGACCCTTCGCATGCACCGAGTGTGGCCGGGGATTCTCGCAGAAGTCAGCACTGACCAAACATGGCCGCACACACACTGGGGAGCGGCCTTTCACGTGCACCGAGTGTGGCCAGCGCTTCTCGCAGAAGTCGGCGCTGACCAAACACATACGCACACACACCGGCGAGCGGCCCTACAAGTGCCCCGAGTGCGACAAGCGCTTCTCGGCTGCCTCCAATCTGCAGCAGCACCGAAGGCGCCACACTGGCGAGAAGCCTTATTTATGCACTCACTGTGGTCGCCGCTTCGCGCAGAGCTCCAACTACGCACAGCACCTACGCGTGCACACGGGCGAGAAGCCCTATGCCTGCCCAGACTGTGGACGCGCCTTTGGCGGCAGTTCGTGCCTGGCGCGCCACCGACGCACACACACAGGCGAGCGGCCTTACGCATGCGCTGACTGCGGTACGCGCTTTGCGCAGAGCTCGGCGTTGGCCAAGCACCGGCGTGTGCACACTGGAGAGAAGCCGCACCGTTGTGCGGTGTGTGGCCGCCGTTTTGGGCACCGCTCCAACCTGGCGGAGCATGCCCGCACACACACTGGCGAGCGGCCCTACCCGTGTGGCGAGTGTGGCCAGCGTTTTCGCCTCAGTTCCCACTTCATCCGCCACCGTCGTGCGCACATGCGGCGCCGTCTCTACATCTGCGCTGGCTGTGGGCGAGACTTCAAGCTACCCTCTGGAGCTACAGCCAGCACTGCCTCTGAGCGCTGCCCAGAATGCGAGGGTAGCTGAGCTTATTGCTATGGGGTGTGGCTGGCTAGGGAGGGGTCAGGGACCTGTGCCCCAGGGTCTGAATTATCTTGGGCAATGACTCCAGGTCTCTGGTCTAGGAAAGGGTGTGATGGCGGGCAGGCTGGACTTGGGACACATGGTGAATCCCCTAGTGGAACTCTGGAAACCATGCCCAGTCCTCCTCAGTATAAATTTTCAGCCTGTGTAACTAAATAAAGTATTACGTCCTCACCATCTACTTATTAATGACGTAGATGGGGAGAGGACCAAAGTTGGACCTGTGGAAGGCTTCAAAGACTAAAGTCAATTGTTACAAAACCAAGTGTGGCTACAAGACCAAAAGGCATTGCTGGCACTGGGGTGTGTGTGTGGTCATCCCATAATCCCTCCCTGGGTATGTCCTTAACGTCACATCTGGAAAATTCTATGAATACACCACATTTGTGATCAAACACATGTTGTATTCCACAGCGTTTTGGTGAACGGCCAGTGAGCATTGTGCAGCTCAGTGTGTACAAGCTTAAGCTGCTCTTGAAGGCTGCCTGAGATAGGGTCAGGGAAATATATAGAGCATCTGAAACTGCACACTACTCTTGTTAGATCTTGTACAGATCCCCCAAAAGCAACGTTAGCAGATTGGCCACTAGGGATCTTAGTGGTCAGTCTCCTGAGAGGGTGAAAGAATCCAAAGCAGCAAAGAAGCCTTGAGGCATGAGACCGAAGAGATGTAGGGGACATACTAAGCTAGAATTTTGGGGAGGAGGATGAAGCTGACCTCATTTCTTAGATGTCCACAGTGTCACTGGGATGGTCCAAGATGAGTAAGACAGAAATGGCAACAACTGTTTTATACCCAGTCCTGACATACTGAAGGTGAGGTAAATGTGAAGGGGTCAGGGAGATGACTGGAAATAACAGTTTCAGATATCAGGGCTGGAGTGCATGACACCTCATTCAGAAGAGGGCAGCTAGGGAAAATCTGAACAGCCACAGGTAGAAAGATACCCAGAACAGTCACGTTTGGAAAATCGAGGAAAGTTTCACAGAAAACAGTTAGCATAGTCAGATTCCGCTTTGGTGCCTGCTGTTTGTAGGTTTGCATTAAGTGGGGAGCCGTTTCAGTGGAAGGGTAGGGATAAAAGCCAGCCTTGAATGTGTTAGGGTATCAATGGGAGAATAAGGAAGCAAAGTGGCTGGATGTAGACAACCCTTTTCAAGAGGCTTGGCTGTGAAGCCGGGGTAATTTTATTGGTTTTGTCTTGGGGAGGAGACTCAGTTTTTGTGTTGGTGGGAAGGCTAATGGAAAGGAAGAGAAGCTTCCTTTGATTGTATGGGGGGCACAGGAGATAACTGACCAAGGGGAGGGAATGAAAGGATAAGGCTCCTGCTCTCACTGGTAGGGAGAAGCAGGGTGGATTTGGGAACAGAAAGCTCAAGCAGTGCCAATCTGGATAGTTTTAGCTGCTAAGTAAGAGTCACTGGTTAAGAGGGATAAGGTCACTAGAGGAATGAGGCCATTAAAAGGGATGACTCCTCTCACTGATGGGGAAATAGGCCCATAAGGGCAGCAAGAGTAATTTAAAGGTCTTTTTCCCAGCATTACCCCACCCTATGAGGCAGGCAGGGGATGGGAGTCTGAAAAAGGAAGTGCTGTGCCTGAGGCCACACAACAGATAAATTACACACAGCTAACACTATCTTTAGGCGTAGATGTGGGATGGGAAATTGGTGATGGGAGGGCAAGAGGCCCAAGAGCAGTGGAAGCCCTGTTCTGTCCCACATCCGAGACTGACCCTGATTTGTGCTGGGTCCTGAGGCTCAATCCTGGGCCCAGGCCTACCTGGACTGGTGACGTTTCCTGCTGTGGGATCCCAGTGTTTTGAGTTGAAAGACATAACTGCAAACTACCTAAGTACCTAGTATGTGCCAGGCACCGTCCTAAGTACTCTACCTACAATAACCGACTTTAACTTTACTGCCCTATTAGGGAAATACTATTATTTTCACTTGAGGTGAAGAAACTGATGAACATCATCCCGCTGGTAAGTATCACATACAGCGTTTGAACCCTGATGTGCTGGCTCCAAAATCTGGGCTTTTACCACCAAGTACAGCCTCTAATCTTCTGTTAGAGGCTCCAAAGGGGAAACAAACTTGCAGGAGAGCCCACAGGGAACCTGCTAGAAATGAGATCTCTGCGTGGCAGGTGGGAGGTGCAGCAGAGAAACGTGGGAGCTCAGATCAGAGCAGCCCTGCTGCCCCTCTGTAGTACCTGCTGAGACAGAGCCTCCCCAACCCAGGAAGGATCCGGAAGTTGCTGGACAAAACTTTACTGAGAGAGAAGAGTGGCAAGAGGCTGTCTTCCAGAGGTTCTTGAGCCTCAAACCTCAGACATCAGGATGCCAGGCTGATGAGCTGTAAGGAAAGGGCCAGAATGAGGTTCCATGGCCAGGCCACCATCTGTTCCTCAGATGCCATGCTGAGCTGCAGACCGTGGGTCCATGGTTCTAGGCTGAGTTCTGGCGTGTGGATTGACAGGCAAGGTCTATAGTCCCCACAGTCTGGTCTTCAGAGGTGGCCCCGTGTGGCAAGTCCGTGTATTTGCGGGAGGAGCCACGGGACAGATGTGCCGGGTAGCGTCGCTGGTTGGTGTCCATCTTGGAGAGCACCGCTTGGGGCAGGTCCACATGGCAGCGGGCTGCTAATGCTACCAGGTAGATGAGGACATCGCTAAGCTCCTCCTGAAGGGCTGCCCGTTCCTTGGGGGGCCAGGATTGGGGGCCAGGCTCCTCATCAGGCTTCCACTGACTGGGGGTGGAACACAGACAGGCACAGACATGCGGGTGCTAACTTGGACAATGGGCTTCCCCTCTCAGGGCACCCCAGTCCTTGCAGCACTGAACTCCCACCTCCTGCAAATCTCCTTCAAGGGCAGCTCAACCTGTCTGGGCCCTGGGTGGAGCCAGGCCGGGAAAGAGACACCAGCATATGATTCACCCAGACCTCTGTGTCCTCACCTAAGCCAAACCAGAGTTGGCAAAGACCATTTTACTCGTCAAGACCTGGTTCTACTCCTCATCAGGTCTAGAAACTGCTACCCCAGACTAAATCTCAGACCTGGACCACTGGGGAAGCCTGCTAACTCATCTTCTACTCTTGCCCAGTATCAGCTTTTAAAAGCACAAATTACATTTTGTCCTTCCTCTGCTGAATCTCCCCTAGCTGGGCTTGGAATAAAATCTAAACTCCTGACCATGCACGCCCTCCAGGTCCTGCATGAGCTGACTCCTGCCTCTTCCAATGTCATGATTCACTACTTTCCCCAACTCCCCACCTACAAGTCACTATGACTTTTTCTGTCTTGCAAACAGGTCAAAACTGTCACAGGCCTTTGTGCTTCTTTGTCTTCAATGATCTTCCCCTGCTCCCCCCCAGAGCTTCCCCATGGCTGGCTCCTTCCTGTTGTCTTTCAGGTCTCTGCTCACATTTCTCCTCCTTAGAAAAGCTGTCTTCCTGTTTCCTTCCTTCCCACAACCTTGGGTTATTCTCCTTATAGAACTTATCACAGTTTCCGATATTTTAACATCAGTTTGCTTATCTGTTGTCCATCTTATTGCACTGTCAAGATGGGAATGATGTGTATCCCTTGGAAAGCCACATCTCTTCACCTTGGAAGATGAGTACACAGATGGTGCTCGTAAATCTGTATAAATGAATGGCCTGCCCTCACACACATCTCTGTGCCCTCATTTCTCCATGCCCACAGTGACTTCACTGGCTGAGACCTCACCATCTCTCCCCTGATCTACACTAGCCCCCTCACTGGTCTCATCCCACCCTAATTCTCCTGTCTTTCTTTCTTTTCTTTCTTTCCTTCCTTCCTTCCTTCCTCCCTCCCTCCCTCCCTCCCTCCCTTTCTTTCTCTCTCTCTCTCTTTCTTTCTTTCTTTCTTTCTCTCTCTCCCTTCCTTCCTTCCTTCCTCCCTCCCTTACTTCCTTTCTCTCTCTCTCTCTCTCTCTCTTTCTTTCTTTCTTTCTTTCTTTCTTTCTTTCTTTCTCTCTTTCTCTCTCTCTCTCTCTTTCTTTCTTTTTATTTTAAGACTTTATTTTTTCAGAGAAAGGGAAAAGGAAGGAAAGAGAGAAAGAAACATCAACTTGTGGTTGCCTCACGTGACCCCCCCCCACTGTGGACTTGTCCCGCAATCCAGGTGTGTGCCCCAAATGGGAATGAACTGGGGACCCTTTGGTTTGCAGCCTGTGCTCAATCCACTGAGCTACAGTGGCCAGGGCCCTAATTCTGCCTAAAAAAATTTTTGTTATCCTCACCTAAGAATATCTACATTGATGCAGAAAGAGATAAAGGGAGAGCGAGAAAAATAAACATGAATCTGTTACTTTCTGTACATGCCCTGACAGGGAATTGAAGTGTTGGTTCACAGGAGCACACTCCAACCAACTGAATAATCCCCCCTGAGCTTTCCCAGCCTTAATTCTTCTGGGGACCAATGTACCCGACAGGCACAGTACTCTTTCTGCCATTCAAATCAGTTCATGTCTTCTGTCCACTCCAGCAATTCTTACCCCAATTTTATAATTACCAATTCTATTCCATCCCACTCCTCCAGAGCCTGTTCAAATATTCAGTTCATACTTACTGAATGTCTGTTGTGTGCCAGACACTAGAAACACATACAAACTCCCCTTTACCTCCTGCGCTGCAGTCCAATTCCTAACTGGTCTGTGGCCCAGGTGTTGGGGTCCCCTGTTCTATAGAACACCTTCCATTCCACCCTAAAGGCATGGGTGACAGAAGGTTGCCACCCACCCCTTCTTAGAGCTGAATGTGCCTCCCTGTTTTCTCTCCCAGTAAGCTGGGTGCCCCTAGAGAGCAGGAACTCATCTCTGTATCACCAGCAGGAAGATCACATCCTTGCAGTGAGAAGGGGAAATTGGAAATATGCATATTTGGTGACCAAATAAATGTCCCCACCCCCACAACATAAAGACTCTTCCATGAAGCCTTTTATTTACTCACAAGAGCTCTGCCAACTCCCCGACTTCCCCCACCAAGGCCAGGAGGAGGTTCCGAGGCTTGTGGAACTGGTCCCAGTCTCTTTCAGCAGCAAACTCAGCATGGAGCCGGCGGCTGGTACAGAAAAAAGGGGTATAAGCCCAGGTCACAGGGTTAGGGGTTGGGGAGGGCATGCAGGGTCCAGGCGACTATCTCAGTGATACGTAATGGGGACATGGGTATCCAGCGGGATTCTGAAACTAACACCTTAGATGGCCTTAAACAAGTCATCTCCTTTCTATGGGACTATAAAATAGCCAAACCCCTACACAGACCCTAAACTCCATGGAAACCTAACAATTACCTCTTCTCCATTCCATCTCCTGCTGCTGCTTCTGCAGTTTCCTCCACCAGACACACCCCTATCTCTGCATATCTATATCTTATGGTCTTACAGAAAACATGCAGGCCAACCGGCACTGCCCCTAAGAAGCTCTTCCTTGGTTTCCTCCACCAAGAAACAAGGGCCTCCCAGGTCTCGCTCCATTTGCCACGTTCTACTTCCCACTCCTGCGGGGCAGAGGCAGAAGCAGCAAGGAACCAGTATTTCTCCTCAGGGCTGCTTCTAACATTCTTCACCCGGGGTCACCATTTACCTTGCCTCGGGTGTGCACTGCTAAGTTCTTTTTGCGTATGAGGGTAGAAGGTTCGGCCAAGGTCACACAGCAGAGCTGGAACACCAGAGCTGGGTGACTAACACAGGGGCTAGCTTCCGACCACATGGAGCGACCCTCCCCAATAAAAGGGAGAAAAGGGGCGATTTCACCAGCCCAGGCTAAGGAAAGACATCTTACATGTCCTCGAGCGTGGGTTCCGAGCTGAATCTGAAGAGGCTGGCGGCAACGGTGCCCTCTCCTCCGGCGACCCCACGCTCTTCCCCACCACCACTAGCCATGTCGCACACCGCTACAAACTTCACTGCACTGAGGAAACTCGCGCTCAGCTTGGGCCCGCCTCCAAAGGCTCTCACCAATCGCGGACCAGGTAACCCATTGCTTCCGGGGGCGGAGCCGCAGGATGGCAGGAAATCGATTTCCGTGGAGTTTGCTATGGCCCGCCCCTCACGCGGCCCGGACCAATTGAGCAAGTTTCCAGTGGGCGCTGCTACACCTCTGCCCTCGAATTTTTTTCAGACCTCACCAAGCCTCTTAAAGGTGTAGGTACTGCCCCAGTTACCACCGGGGGGGGGGGGAGGAGACAAAGGGCAGGTGGCGGGAAGAACGCAGGCGCGTCACTGCACTTACCGACGCCGGAAAAGGAGAGGCGCTCGGTGTGAAACGCCGGAAATGTGGGGTTTTAGCAAGAAGGCCATTTATTGTACCGCTACAAAGATATCTCCCGAATACAGGTGGGCTCTAGGAATAAACTGACGCTAGAGCAGCCGTTTTAAGCATTTCACTTATTTAATCCTCACAAAGGTAGGTAATGCCATCATCACGTTCACCATCCTCATTCCCATTTAACCGAAATTACATTGAGTAATTTAACTTAACAGCTAGGAAAGTGGTAGCCAGTTTCGAATTCAGTTTGGCCTCCAGGTCTTTTTGGAGCACACTGTATTGCATCCAATGGTGATACGTACTATGCAAATAAATTTAAACGTATTTAAACATTATGCAAAGTGGGGGCAACTTTAGGTTGCATGGCCCAGGGAAGATGCGGTAAAGCACTGTTGGTTACCTATTCAACTGCCCATATCACGCCTGCGTCTTGGCAGAACCGCGATTATATTCTCGGGTACACCCTTCTCTACTAGGTTGATCATGTGTCTGTCTCCTTTGCCCTGCCATGGGTCGGTTTATGGGTGAACATGTGGCCCATTCTTGACAATGAGTAGTTACAGGAAGTACATTAGAGTCTTTGGGGGAAGGTTCTTGGTTCTTTTTCAAAAAAGGACACAGGGAGTTTCTACTTTTGATGTTAGTATGCGAGGAATGGATTGAGAGGAAAGCTAGCCCACCAGCTGAGGCTGGTAGATTCCAAGATAGAAAAGACTCAGATCCTTGATGGTATTGCTGGGCCAGGTTTTTTTTTTTTTCTTTTTTCTTTGTACAAGTTGCAGAAATGCCCTAATTTAGAATTCTGGCTATGTAAGTTAATAAATCGATTTGTTGGTCAAGCCACTTTTACTTGGTTTTTCTGTTACTTGCCTTTGAGAAATGACATTTAAGCCATGCCAAACTCGAGTGGACTGGATTTCCAGGTAAAGGGAACGCCAATGCTTAAAGCAGGAAAGGCTCATCATGTTCTAAAGACAAAGGAATTCCATTATGGCAGGGATATGGTAAACAAAGGGGAGAGTGCCTGGATATGGTTTTAGAGAAGTGAACTGAGGCCAGATTAGAGCAAGTAGCCACGAATTCTCTATTACTTTGGATTTTAAGTATTACAGAAGCCCTTTGGAGGGTTTTAGGCAGGGGAGCCATATAATTATATTTTGTATTTATGAGCCCTCTGTCTGCTGTGTTCAGGATGAACTGGAGGAGGGCAGGAGTAGAAAGAGGGAGATGGGTTACTGCAGCTGTCCAGGTAAGAGACGATGGTTACTTGGGCCAGGCTGATGGTGGGCGAAGATGGAGAGAAGTGGACAATTGGGAAGATATTTAGGAGGTAGGTCTATATATAGGCTCTGTTAGTTTTGAACTAGAGGGATGCGAGAAAGGGTAGAATGGAGCATGGTTTACTGGTTGTGAATATTGAACAATGTGGTGGATAGAAGACTCATTCTGTGACAGAGATGAGGTGCAAGACTGAACACAGGTGGCCTCAGCAGTTTGATCATCACAAAGGAAATTGAAGATGCATGTCAAGTTGGCAGGTGCGTTTATGAGCCTAAGCTTAAATTTAAAACAATTTAAAGTATGTTAATTGATTTTAGAGAGAGAAAGAGAAAGAAACATTGATTGGTTGTCTTCCAAATGTGGCCCATCCAGGGATCAAACCCTTAACCAAGGGATGTGCCCTGACCAGGGATTGACTCCCCTGACTTTGGGTGTATGGCATGACTCTCCAAGCAACTGAGCCACACTGGCTGGGGCTATGAGCCTAAGCTTTAGTGGAGAGAGAGGAGAGATCCAGATTTAGTAGCTTCAGACATTTAGACACTACTTGAAAGGCATGGAATTGGAGAAGCATAACTAATACAAGAATCTAGCTAGACAACACCAGACTTGCAGTACTCTAGCAGTTGAGCAGTGGAGAAGAGGCAGGTGAGGCAGGAAGAAAATTGGCTGAATGTGTTGTTAAGGAGGCTAAGAGAGGAGAGTGTTCCAGAATGAGTGGACACTTGATTTGGATGCTGCTGAGCTGCCGGGTTAGGCGAGAACACTGAATTTGCCCCTGGATTAGGCATCGGGGAAGTTGGATAAGAGAGATAGGGGAACAGAGGGAGTCCTGGGTAACCGTTTGAGTTTGTGGCTCGAGTAAATGGATGGAGAGTTTTGCCAACTGCTGAAGGGAGGACACAGAATCCCTGGATGCTGGGGAGGGAGGGAAGATGACAAATTTAGTTTGGGACACATGGAGTGCAAGATGGCTCTAGGACATCCAGATGATGTACAGCAGGCAGGTAGACATACAGGCCTGACGTTCAGAGCATTGAGTTATCCTAGGGATCTGAGAACTGAAAGTTTCAAAAGCCAAGGACCTTTCTCAGCACCTTCCCTGGTGTTTGCTAAGCTTCTCCAGATAAGAACCCAGCTCTTTTACTGGACTATAAAATACACTTGGAGAGTACCTTTTTCAGGAGTCTTGGGGATCTCAGAGTTTTTGAAGAGCCAGGGACTGGAACTTCTAGAGCTCACAGGTCAGATGCTCCTTGGGGACTGGCAGAAAGGAGGAGGCATTGTCTCTGGGAATGTCTCTACCTTCCTCCCAGGACATCTGCGAATGAGCTGTAAGGCTCTTGTGAAGTTTCCTTCAGGGACATACAAGTTCTTTGCTCCACAGCATCATCCTCTGAAAACCAACTAAACCCAGGTCCAGCACAGGATGGAGTTGGGGGGCAGGGGAGGCCCTCATGCGGGAGAGGGAACAGACCCGAGCATATGATTATACCTATCACCTGGACTCCTCATCCCAGGCTCTTTCCACACCCTCACCCCTACAGGGAGCAGGGCTGTGGGTTGACTGTGGTCGCGCATTTGTGCGCGGATAGACAAGCTAGGGAGTGGGCGATTGGACCCGGACCCAGCCGGTCCCCACAGCAAGAGGCAGGGAGGGCTCGCCATTTCCCTGCTCTGACCCCACCTCTACATACAGCGTCATAACCCAGTGACTCTGAGTGGCCCGGCCCGGGTGAACCACCTAAGACGCTGCTCCTCACCCAGCTGTGAGAAACAGCAGAGGGGTCGCCACTTACCCGCTCTGACCACGCCCCCACATACAGTGTCACAACCCAGCGACCTGGGAGTCCAAGGCGCTGCTTCTCACACTTAAAGGGCCAGAACAGACCAAAAATGTTGCAAGAAGATCTCAAAGCCCCAGAGCCCATAGATCTAAGCAATGAAGAAATAGTAAAACTCTCAGATGCACAGTTTAAAACACTGGTGATCCGGATCCTCATAGAACTGGTTGATTATAGCCATAAATTAGACAAATATATGAAGGCGAAACTAATTGAAATGAATGGAATTGCACAGGACACCAATAGCAATGAAAAGGAAACTGGGACTCAAATTAATGGAGTGGACCAGAAGAAAGCAAATAATGGCCAAACAGAAAAGAGTCAAGAAGCAAGAATTCAAAGAAATGAGGAGAGTCTTAGGAACCTCCAGGACATCTTTAAACGCTCCAACATCTGAATTATAGGGGTACCAGAAGGGGGAAAGGCACAGCCACAAGTGGAAAACTTATTTGAACAAATAATAAAGGAAAATTTCCCCAATCTGGCAAAGGAAATAGACTTCCAGGAAATCCAGGAAGTTCAGAGAGTACCAAAGAAGTTCGACCCAAGAAAGAACACACCAAGGCACATCATCATTACATTAGCCAAGATTAAAATGAAGGAGAGAATCCTAGAAGCAGCAAGAGCTAAGGGGACAGTCACCTACAAAGGAGTCCCCATCAGACTGTCAGTGGATTTCTCAAAAGAGACCTTCCAGGCAAGAAGGGGCTGGAAAGAGGTATTCCAAGTCATGAAATCCAAAGACCTACAACCAAGATTGCTCTATCCAGCAAAACTTTCATTTAGAATGGAAGGACAGATAAGGTGCTTCTCAGATAAGATCAAATTCAAGGAGTTCATCATCACCAAGCCCTTATTATATGAAATGTTAAAGGGACTTATCTAAGAAAAAGAAGTTAAAGAAACATGAACAGTGAAAGGACAACAAACTCACAGTTATTAACAACCACACCTAAAACAAAAGCAAACTAAAAGGACAGCTAGATCAGGAGTGGAAACATAGAAATGAAGATCTCAAGGAGGGTTAGCAACAGGGGAGTGGGAGGAGGAGAAGGGGGGAGAAGGTACAGAAAATAAGTAGCATAGACAATAGATGGGGGGCAAGAATAGCATGGGAAATATAGAATCTAAAGGATTTGAGACACATGGTCATAAACTAAAGAGGGGGTAATGGTGGGGACGGGGGTGTAGGGTGGAGGGGAATGAAGGGGGGATTAGAACGAGTGTAACAGCATAATCAATAAAAAAATTTAAAAAAAAAGAATCTCTCTTTATCTTTTTAACCTTTGGCATTTTAATCATGATGTGTTTAGGAATGGGCCTCTTTGCATCCATCTTGTTTGGGACTCTCTTTGATCCCTGGACTTGCATGGTTATTTCCTTCACCCGATTGGGGAAGTTGTCTTTCATTACTGTTTCAAACAGATTTCCAAGTCCTTGCTTCTTCTCTTCCCCTTCTGACACCCCTTTGATGTAAATGCTGGAATGCTTGCAGTTGTCCCAGAGGCTTCTTACACTATCCTCGTGTTTTTGGATTCCTTTTTGTTGTTGTTGTCCTGATTGCTTATTTTTTGCTTCCTTATGTTCCAAATCATTGCTTTGATTGTTGGCTTCATCCACTGTACTGTTGCTTTCCTGTAAGTTGTTCTTTACTTCAATTAGTGTATCCTTTGTGTCTGACTGGATCATTTTATGCTGTTGAGGTCCTCCCTAAGTTCCTTGAGCATCCTTATAACCAGTGTTTTAAACTCTGCATCTGATAGACTGTTCATCTCCATTTCCTTCAGTTCCTTTTTCTGGAATTTTGATCTGTTCTTTCATATGGGCCATGTTTCTTTGTCTCCTCATTTTGGCAACCTCACTGCATTTGTTGCTCTGTTTTCGGTCGAGCTTCTATGACTCCCTGTCTTGGTAGCATGGCCTGATGTAGTCCCTGTCCCATAGAGTCAATTGGCACAGCCTCCCATAGCACCCAATCTGGAAACTCGAGGTACACCCTTAATGTGTGCTGAGTACACCCCTCCTCTTGTAGTTGAGCCTTGATTGCTGTGGGCAGGTGACTGGGAGGGATTTACCCAGGCCAGTCAGATGCAAAGACTGGCTGTGAGCACTGATCACCAAGTTAGTTATCTATAGCAGTTCACCCACACTAGCTCTCTTGGTACTACCACTTTTCACCTTATTCTGGAGATGACTGATGTCCCTTTCCTACATGTCCTTCTAGAGTGGGTCTCCTAGAGAACAGAAGCAGTGTCAGGCTTTTGTTTCTCCAGGGCCTTGTACTTGACTAGATTAAACAAATATTAATGGATAGAAGTATGTCCTGTGGGATCATAGGGAAGCCAATTAACAGGGAGAGTTAGCTAGGTGTTGGCTAAGGTCAGAGGGGGCTTTTATGAAGAGGATTCTTTAAGCTGAGCCAGGACTGTGAGCCTGCCAGGTAGAGAGCCTGAGGTGAGGCTCCAGATGGAGGGAACTGGAAGCACAAAGGATCTTGGTTTGTTTGAAGCACCGTGGAAAGGTTGATGGGCTAGAGTTTGGTGAGAGAGGCAGGGGGAATGCCATGAGGTAAAGTTGGAGATATGTAGCAGGAACTTTATGGGAAGCCATTTGAGAGATTTGTGCAGAAGAAAAACTGATGTGACCAATGAATTATCTTTTTTCCGTTAAAGTGTATTTACATTATTAGTTATGTAAATATTTATTGCCATGGAGATCATATGGAGGGTTATCAGCAGGGAGGTAGAGGGTGGAAAATGGGGGAAAAGGTACAGGGAATAAGTGTTACGGGAAATGAAGCGACCAGACACCGAGGGATTCTGGAGTACGAGGTTTATTCCTTTTTACGTGCACGGGCCCAGAGCAGTCAGTCTCCAAATTCTGAGCCCCGAACAAAGGATTCTTGGGGAATATATAGATTAGGGGTCTTCCTATCTACGTGGCAAAGCAGGATACAGAAGCAGAATGCGGTAATTAGTTCTATCTACGGGGCAGAAGCAGAGTTCAAAGGCTAAATGTGAAAATTGGTTCTATCTGCGGGGGTGCTAGCCCTAGTCCTAGTGACTATCTGGCTATTTGCTTTATTTGCTCTTCCCAGACGGCCTTATCGTTCTCCTATGGTGCCTGGGGTCTTGGGTGAGCAAAGGTCTCCCAGGGCTTCTCCTATCAGTGCCAGTTCCAGTCCTCACTATCCGGCCACCCACCCTCCCAGACCGCCCCATCATTCTCTCTAGAGAGCCTGGGGCCTGGGCAAATAAAGGTTAAACAGGGGTTTCTCAAAGTTTCCCATATCATAAGTAGCATAAATGGTAGGAAGAAAATGGACAGGGGGAGGTTAAGAATAGTATAGGAAATGGAGAAGCCAAAGAACTTGTATGTATAACCCATGGACGTGAACTAAGGGGGAAAATGCAGGTGGGAGGAAGGGCAATAAAGGGGGGTAATGGGGCAAGTGTAATAGCATAATCTATAAAATATATTTAAAGTCAAAAGAATAAACAAAAATTCATTGCTGGGTACTATATATGATTACATTTAATTTGTTATGCAAGGTTTTGTTTTTGTCCACAGTCGATGTACCTCATTCCTTTTTTCCTTTGCTGGTTTCTATATTGTTGTTACATGCCATTGGGTCAGCTCCAACTCCTGTCTTGAATGAGTGATGTCCACAATGTCCTGCCCCTGGCAGCCCTGCTCAGCTCCTGTAGACTCATGGCTATGGATCCTTTAGTTCCCTCTCCAGAAGATTTTAGGAGAGAACAGTGATTAGAAGCATGGGCTTTGGACTAAAACCACCTAGAAGACTGCCTATGTAATCTTGGACAAATTTCTTAATCTCTCTGCACCTCAGCTTCCTTATTTACAAAATGGAGTTGTTGGAAGTTTTCATTTGTTGATCTTTAGAGAGAGAGAAAGACAGAGAGAGGGAGGGAGAGGGCCAGAGAGAGAGAGAGAGATTTGTTGTTCCACTTATTTATGCATTCATTGGTTGATTTTGTATGTGGTCTGGCTGGGGCTTGAACCTGTAAACTTGGTGTATCAAGATGATGCAGTATCTATGTGAGCTACCTGACCAGGGCCAGTTGTTGGAATTTTAAATGAGTTGATACATATAAAACTTAGCACAGTGCCTGGCAAAGGGTATGCACTACATAAACATTTTTATTATTAGGGTCTCTTTATTAAATTTGAATAATTAGTGTCTTTTTTTACTCACCATGCTGGGTATCAAGAGGTATGTGACACAGCTTTTAAGTGTTATAAAACTTCCTTGTACTAGTCTTTGGTAAACTTTCTCTCTTCTGTCTGCTTTATTACCTCTTTCTGGAATGCCTCTTAGATGTTGAACATCTGGGCTCACCTCTGATTTTCATATTTCTTCTCCTATTGTATATCTTTTTTAAAAAAAGGTTTTATTTATTTATTTTTAGAGACAGGGGGAGGGAGAAAGAGAGAGAGAAATATCAGTGTGTGGTTGCCTCTTGCCCTCCCTACATGGGGGAACCTGGCTTGCAACCCAGGCTTGTGCCCTGACTGGGAATCGAACCAGCGACCCTCTGCCTCACTGTCCTGAGCTCAATCCACTGAGCCACACCAGCCAGGGCTGTGTATCTTTCTTTTGGTTCTACTTCCTGGTCAATTTCCTCAGCTTTATCTTCTATGTCTTCTGCTGAATTTTAAAATCTTAAGCTATCTTTTGTATTGTAAGGGCTTTGTTCTTATCTTTTTGTGAATACTTTATCTTCTTTTATGTTTGCCTTCTTTTCCCCCTCCCATTCCCTATATTGCCCTTTCCTGAATTTTTCTTTTTTTTTTTTAGCTTTGTCTTCCTTCAAATTGGAGGCTTGTCTCAGATGACTGCTCATTTTTAAGAATTAGACATTAAAAAGAATGTGCTGGAGTGAAGCTTTTCGACTGGGAGGTTTCCATACACAAGGATTTTGACTGGGGGCTCCTCAAATGTTTCTATTTATAGGCCTTTTGCTGGGGGGCATATTCATTTTCTCCAGGAGTATTGGTAGAAGCTTCCTGCAGTGTTTTTAATAGCTGAGAAAGGGGTTCGGGGCCTCATTTTCCGGGTTTTATTCTGTTTTGGGTCAGGCCCCCTGTCTTCTGCTGTGCCTAGTAGCCCTGATTTTGCAGTATTTTTTTTTATTCACATTTTTCCTGAGAATAAACCTCCCTTTATCTGCCAAGGTGAGGAACAGTCTTCTCGATGTTTGAATGGGGGAGAAGTTTGAGAACTTCAAAGATCTAATTACCCTGTATAAACTTTCAAGGAGTGTGTTTTTACCCCCACCTTTGATCCCAACTCCCTTAGTACCTCTGGGGCATATCTCCTCACTTCCTGTTAGTATTCCCCAACTCTGAAGGCATTTACACTTTGGCTTCTTCTCTCCTGCTAAGTCACTTACCCCTCTTCCGCCTCTTCTCCTTTTCCAAGAACTACTGACACTTTTGCTATTTCCTCTCCCACCTTCTAGTCCCTGGGGTTTCTTATGCTGTTGAGTCCTTTGCTGTCAACTCAGGGGAAGATGCAAACCTAAATCTGGGTGTTACATCCCCTGGTCCAGGACTGGGGAAACGAGAAAACTCTCTACTTTGCCAGACTCTAAATGTATCAGTTGACTCGTTTTTATCAGACTTTAAAAGATTCAGAATTCCAAGGATCCAAACATTAGCCACAAGAATTTTCAACCAAGTCCTTTTTATTTATTACACTAGAAATCATGTTATTGACTAAATCACCAGGACTTTTCAGCACAAAGTTTAACATCTTAGTGACTACCAAGGCCTGGGCTCTGGGGCTAGCTCTGCCTCTCCCAGTCCTTAAAGGGGTTTAGAGGGAGAGACTTCATTAACAGAGACCAAGTCAGTGGTTGCAGGGCCTCCTTTCCCAGTCACTGGACAAGGTGCTCAATTCTTGTCCGGAGCAGGAAAAAGACAGTATTTCAGAAAAGTCTAATAAAGAATCTGACGCTGCATTATTATAAGATCTTTCTCAACAATTTAAATTTATCAACCCTATTAATCCAGATTCATTTGCTTCGGAGTTTTTCCCCCCTGGCATTTCCCTCAAACTGGAATAACCTCATTTTGCTCTTGGAAAGAGGAAACTGGTTTTTCTGCTCGTCTTCCAAGCAGAAATTGAACAAACCTCCCCACCGAAGTCCAAAATGTTACTTTTGGCCTTGGAATGTGCAGTTTGTGATGGGCTGATTGAAATCACCTAGAAAGGGCAACTGTGGAACTGGTATGTGGGCAGCCGCCTTTGGAAATTTGTTCCTAAAATCAACTCTTGAGACTCATCTGGGATTGTGTGCAAAGGCTCCAAGGTCCAAGCGGCTTCTGCTACTCCATCTCACAAGCTAGGCTCAGCAGAGGCACTGGAATTGTCGTGGGCAAGAGCCGCAGCAGTGGTCCCACGAGGTAGGACCTCAATGACTCGAGGCTTGTCAATGATCCGGGCCGTCCGGTTTCCCTTTTCCACAATTCCGACGATCCATGCTTGGTGACCCTCCCCATACTTGGAAGATTTGATTTCGGAACAAAAGCGAGCAGCCTGTTCCCTCGGCAGGCAAATCAGCAATCCCCCAGAAGTTTCTGCTGAGGTTCCTTGAAGGAGCCCAAAGCGCCCACTGGCCTTGCTGATGGCAGCCATCTTGGCAATGATTGGCAGATTATGAATGACAAAAGAAACCTCATTTCTCTGTTGTCTTGCAAGGTTCTGAGAGTGTCCCAGAATACCAAAGCCCGTGATATCCGTGGCAGCATGGGCATTAAATGTGTGCATTAACCCGGCAGCAGTTCTGTTTAGGGTAGCCATGTTGAACATGGCTTCCTGATAGGCCAGCTCTACCTCTTCTTTGGAGACCACCATCTTTATCTTATTCCATCTTTCAGGATTGTCCAGCCATTGGTGGGCATTGACAGCAACTTGGGTGCCTAAGGGTTTGGTTAACACCAGCACATCCCCAACAACTGCGCTGTCAGGCATGATGAATTCATTTGGCTGACACACCACAGTGGCAACCCCACCCACGATAATCCAAGGGTTTACCACAGTTTGTCCACCAGTCACTGCAGTCCCTCCTTCCTCCGCAGCATCCCGAAAGCCTCTGATCATGAGCGGGGTTATCTTTTCACGTTCCTCCTCAGTCATATTCTGGCTGACGCTGAGTAACATCAACATGTTGTCACATTCAGTAATGCCCATGGCATAGAGGTCACTCAGCACATTGGCACAAGCTATGCGTCCCATCATGTAGGGGTCTTCCACCAAAGGGTAAAAGAAGTCCGTGGTTTGCACCAGTGACAGGCCTCCGTGCCTCAGGGGTATGACGCACGAGTCCATGCCAATGCCCAGGGTTGGAAAACTTGGGCTGCATTCCGCCATGACCGGCAGGCCGGCCTCCTGGGCCGCCTCTTCCTGGCCTCCGACCAGTCCCCGGCCCAGCGGGGCCCGCACGTCCGGCCGCGTCAGTCCCGCCAGGAGTTTGAGCAGCGTCTCCTGGGGGACCTTGCAGCCTCAGCCCTTCATGCCGGAGAAGCCGGTCAGCCGCCAGCTCGGGCTGAGGCCCAACGCCTGAGGATCGAAGGCGCGGTAGCTCGAGAAGCCGCGGCCCCAAGACGAGGCTCCCGCGGAGCCTGCCGCGGCCGCCGCCGCCGCCGCCACGGCCTCCCCGCCGGCACCCGTCGCTGAGGTTTCTGCCATTGCGCCTGCCGGGCAGGGAGGGAGAAGAGGAGACGTCCCTTTATTTTCTACTCCACTTGGGACGGAGTACAGTCAGATATTACCGCAGAGACTGTAGCCCGCGCGCTTCGCGCGGAGGAACTCAAGGCACGCCCCGCCGTCCTGGCCTTCCAGCGTGAGCAACCGACAGCCACTCCTAGCGATTCCCTGGTGATTGACAGCCGTTTTATCCAATAACGGCTTTGCCACGGAGGGGCGGGTTTCCTTTGGTCTAAAAGACTTAACGTGTCACAAAATCACCCACCGACTTGCGAAATTTGGTCTCCCGTAGATTACAGAGCAAGTGCTTTGGTTTGCTCCAGGTGTTGTGAGTTGATGGCCCTTTGAGGGGTGGAGGTGGCTGACGAAGCTCGGCTCCCCTAGAGGCTGTTTACCAAGTACTGCCTTTTGTAAGACGAGGGAAGATGGATAAGCTTGCCAAACCTCTAGCCGGCCAGAGTTGTCCAAAGGTCACTTGACAGCGCGTCTGATCAATTGGGGTAAGAAAATAGCCAGTGGAAAAAATCGGAAAGAGCAATAAGAAATTAGATAAACAAACTGCAACATTAAAGTAATGGGTAAGAGTGCTGGAGATGGGTTGTACAACAATGGGAATTTATGTGTATTTTGTTATAATTAAAAATATTAAAACTAGCCCTTGCCAGTGTGGCTCATTTTTTTGAGCATCTTCCCTAGAAACCAAAAGTTCGCAGGTTTGATTCTTGGTGAGGGCGCATGCCTAGTTTGTGGGTTTGGTTCCATCAGGGTGCTTACGAAAGACAACCAATTTATGTTTCCCTCCCTCTTTTTCTTCCTCCCTTCCCATCTCTAAACCTTCTCTTCCTTCCTCTCTCAGTAAAAGCAATAGAAGAAAAATATCCTTGGGTGAGGATAAAATATATATATGACGTACTAAATATCTTATAGTACGTGATTACACTGGTTTATTAGTGTACAGCATAGTATTAAGTGATGGAGCAAAGTGGAAGGAAGCCGAACGTTAAAATTAGACTGAGTTGCAGTGTTGGCCTGGGTGAATTGACCTTGGGTATATTGTCTAGCCTCTAGGAGTCTCAGTTTCTATTGCCTATGAAATAGCCCTTTTACCTTTCGAAATAATCCATACCAGATAGGAAAGTTATGAGAATTAAATTTAAAAATGTGTGTAAAACACCTAACATAATTCCTGACTGATTGTAAACTGAAGATAAATGGTAGAACCTATTATTATATATTACTGTTAATGTTGACAAAAGAACTGAATTTAAACTCACAAAACGTAACATCTTGGAAAGCTGTTTTATTAAAACAAATCCTTTTATCTTCCTTAACAGAAAGAATAGCTAAAACAGCAAGACATTGGAAATAACTCAAGTGTCTGTGTAAAGGGGGAATATATAAATAAATGTGGTATCATTATAGTGAAATATTTATTTGTGAAAATGAATTATAAGTCTAAGAATCAATATAGATAATATCAAAAGGAAAATGTTGGGAATAAGAAGCAGGTTAGAGGATAATGCATAAACTAAGGTGCCATTTATCTAAGTTCAACACCAAGCAAAGCAATGATATATTAAGACATACATAAATGATAAAAAAAACTTTTTTAAAAGGTAAGAGTGAATGAATAACAAAATTTAGAATAAGGATTACTTCTGGGGAAGGGTACATAGGGGATCTCTGGGGTATGTTAAATTTCTTCTTCCTGGGTGGTAGTTGTTTGGAACCACCCTGTCTGGTTTCAGAAGCTGTAACCCCCCATGGCAAAGGCTGAATGAGCAACCTTCGGACCAGAAGCCACTGAGTAGACAAAGCTTATCTCCCTAGCAGGAGCGCCACTTCTGCTCCTTTTACTGCATCCATAACTGGCCTCCAGTGCTTGATCAGTTAGCCAATGACGGGTAACATTCCCCAAGGGGGGAATGACCTAAGACAGGCATGATCACGTGGATGCCCCAGGGAAGGACTTGGGGGGGCTATAGCAAAAGGGGGTGATGGACTCTCGCCCCTCAGTTTTGACATAGCCTGAGTCCTCCACATTCTGTCTGCAAGAAGTCTCCTAATCTCTTGGCTGCCTTACTTCCCCTGACTTAAGCTTGAAACTTCCCCTGCCTGACTTAAGCTTGAAACAATGCTGGTGGTAGGTGCAGTCCTGTGCTGGAAAAGGTGGGTTCCCTAGGGGATCAGACCTAAGAAAGAATATGTAAACTCCTGTGAAACCTGCTTTGTTTAGAATGCTCTCAATTAAATGATAAGGGTCCAAGTGAGAAGTGACTTTGTTCCTCAAAGTTTTATGGTTCTTTAGCTATCTGACCCTGACTTAGCATAGACCCTCAGAGTTCTCTGTATGTTTGATTCTCACTGCCTGATGACTAATGAGCTTTACCTGTGTTCTTGTGCAAAAGAAACCCAATAAAGGCAAGGGCCTCGGCTTTTGCTCCCCTTGAGAGAAAAAGCCATGCTATCCCTTTTCCTCCACCAGACTCGGTAGTCCGTGTGAATGTCTCTTTTTGTCCATAATGACACAGACATTTCAGGCCAGTGTCCGCATCAATAGTTACATGGTGTTCTCTAAACCATACACATATTTTTCAAAACCTTTTTGTAAGGTGTATTTTAACATTAAAAAAGAAAGCTTCTGTATTTCAGAATCAAAAATACAAAAAGAAAAAAGTGAGATCATGAAAAAGCAATAGATATGGAAGCAAAAGACCTCTGGGTTTTGTCTTACCTTTGGACAGATATCAGTGAGGTGTCTGGCCTTGTGGAAGTTACCATATTTTGACATGTATAATGTACTCCTGTGTATACTGTACACTCACAGTTTTGACCCAAAATTTCCGGAAACAAATCTTTGCTTCAATTATTTATTTATATTTAGATACTTGTTTATGTATTTTTAAAAGATTTTATTTATTTATTTTTAGAGAGAGGGGAAGGGAGAAAGAGAGGGAGAGAAACATAGATGTGTGGTTGCCTCGCATGCCTCCAACCAGAGACCTGGCCCGCAACCTAGGCATGTGCCCTAACTGGGATTCAAACCAGTGACCCTTTGGTTTGTAGAATGGTGCTCAATTGATTCAGCCACACCAGCCAGGACTGTTTTTTGTATTATAAAGGAATTTTAGCACTTATTTTTTTAACATATTATGGTACAAGAAATTTTATGTAACAAATAATTACAAAACACAAGAACAGGTACAAAGTATCTAGGTACTACTGGTATAGAATGCTCATCCTTATTTTTTCCTCAAAAATCTGGGCAAAAAAGTACACCTTATACACAGAAAAATATGGTATATAACCTCTCTAAACCTTATTTTCCACTTCTGTAAAATGAAGGTCATAATCTCTGCTTAGGATCTTGTGAGAGGATCATATAAGAAAACCTCAACTATGAAAAGTTCTTTGCAAAGTGTCCAGCATATTGTACCTCTAAAGGATCCTCACATCACTAAAGGAAAACAAAAACATTCTATCTACCCGTAGTTACCTCACCTGGGTTAAAAAGTAACTAGCTCAATTGCCCCTGGTTATATGTTCTCTCCTTTAGACTTTTCCCTCTGGACATTTCCCTCTCAGTAGTTATCACAATTTGTGATTCCTTTTTTCATCTAAGTTTTTATTAACATGACTTTTTAAAAAACAAGCATCCACACCAGTGTGAGGGAGTGAGGGGGGGGGGGAGAGGGAAGGGGAAGGGAGGGTAGGCCATGGGGAAGGAATTCTGCTCTATTGGAAATGAAGCTCCAGGTTCCTTCCATCATGGATTTCATCTCCAATTTGTAGTTCTTTATTCATGTAATTGCACCCTGACTATCTGTCTACCCCACTAGCCTGTGGGCACCACGGGGCAGGGACTACCATGTTTTGTCTACCCTGGTTTCTCTAGCATTTTACATAACAACATTTGTTGAATGAATATGTCATTTTATACATTACACTTTGCTGAGCACATATGATGAGCATTTCACATTTATTTACCTCTACATAGGTGTCACAGGAGATTAGCATTATTATCTCCATTTTACAGATGAGAAAACTGAGTTCCCATATAGGTTAAGAGTCTTGCACAGGGTCACCATCTGGAAACCAACCTGTGAGAATTCAGACCCAGGTCTGTTTGAACTGAAGACAGGCATTCTGTCCTTCATTCTGAGGTCTCCCTCGATAATTACAGTAAACCTTAACCATGCCCCTTGAGTAACCAGAACTCTTTTAGGGCAAGGTTTTTATTCACATAGTTCCCTGTTGCTTCTACTTGGGAGCAATGTTCACTTGAACCAATGCAAAGAAAGTGATGAATTTGTCTTGGCCAGTGACCAACCCACTAGGCTCAGAACAAGTTCATGTGCAAGTGATTCACATGGACTCTTTTAAAAATATATATATTTTATTTATTTGTTTTTCAGAGAGAGGGGAAGGGAGAAAGAGAGGAAGAGAAACATGGATGTGTGAGAGAAACATTGATTAGTTGCCTCTCCTGCCCCCAATCAGGGACCCAGGTATGTGCCCCAACCTGGAATGGACCCTCTTTGTGGGACAATGCCCAACCCACTGAACCACACCAGCCAGGGCTCATATAGGACTCTTGAGAGTGATTTGTGTGACTGTATCATGGACATCTGAAAGCATCCTTTTTTTTAAAAAAAAATCTTTTTCTTGTTTTTTTTACTGAGAGATCCATTGATCTTCATTTACCACTTGGGTTAAAGTGTGTGGGTCAAAGATCATAAAGGTAAAAACCTGAAGGTGAGGTTGGAAGAGCAGGCAAAGGAGGAGAAAGTGGAGTTTTAAATAAGTTAAGAGGATCTGAGTACCAGTCCCTCATTTGTTTTTAAAATACAGCAAAAGCATTGGGGCCAGGGCTATGTATAATTTATTTCCCATTATGATAATAATTTAGAGTTACAACACTACATTTTAAGGTCCTGTACACTTTTTTCCAATGAATAAATGTATTTTTCATTATAGTTTATGCACATATTATATTAGTTTTAGCCCTGCAACATATTGATTCAACATTTATATACCTTACAAAGTGATCACTGCAATGGTTATCAACCATCTGTCATAATACATAGTTATTATGATATTATTGACTCTATCCCTATGCTGTACATTATAGCCCTATGATCTATTTTATAACTGGAAATTTGTATTTCTTAATCTCCTTCCCTTTTTAAATATATTTTATTGATTATGCTATTATAGTTGTCCCATTTTTTCTCTCCTTTATTCCCCTCCAACCTGTAACCCCCTCCTACCATCATTCTCCCACCTTAGTTCGCGTCCATGTGTCATACATATAAGTTCTTTGGCTTCTCCATTTCCCATACTATTCTTAACCTCCCCCTGTCTATTTTGTACCTACCATTTATGCTTCTTATTCCCTGTACCTTTTTCCCCATTCTCCTCCGCCCCCCTCCCCACCCATAACCCTCCATGTGATCCCTTTTTCTGTGAATCTGTTACTGTTCTAGTTGTTTGCTTAGTTCATTTTTGGTTCTTGTTTCATTTTTTTAGGTTCAGTTGTTGATAGTTGTGAGTTTGTTGTGATTAATCTCTTTCCCTTTTTGCACTCAATCTCCTATTACCTCCCTCTCTCAACCATCACTTTGTTTTCTTTATAAGTTAGTTTCTGTTTCATTTTTTATTTGTTTTTGTGTTTTAGATTCTACCTACAAGTGAAATCATATGGTATTTGTCTTTCTCTGTAAGACTTATTTTATTTAGCATAATACCTTCTAGGTCTATCTATGTTGTCACAAATGGCAAAACTTCATTCTTCTCTCTCTCTTTTTTTTCCTACAGCTTACAGGCAGAGGCCAGGGAATGGTTCAAGGCCACAGTTTGCCCTGGCAAGGGGCACTATGAAAGACCCATGGGACAGGCCTGCCATAAAGATTTCATTTTTTTTTAATGGCAAAGTAATAAAGTAATTATGGATAGGTATGTACTTATTGCCATTTGTTTTCTGTGGGGTTTCTTTTTTCTAGTTCTTCTCTGTTCCTTTCTTCTTTTCTTGCTCTCTTGTATATTGATGACTTTCTTTAATGATTTGTTTGGGTACCTTTTAAAAATTTTTTGGGTATCTATTATAGTTTTTTTTAATTTGTGACTGCCAAAAGATTCCTATATAAGAAGCTATATAATAGTAGTCTATTTGATTAAAAAAATTTTTTTTGTCCTCACTCAAGGACACTTTTTTTCATTGCTATTAAAAAGAAAGTAAGGGTGGTGGAGAGAGAGAGAGAAACATTGATGTGAGAAACAACAATTGGTTGCCTGTCGTAGGCTCCCCAACGGGATCAAGTATGTGCCCTGACCAGGAACTGAACCTGTGACCTTTAGATGTATGGGATGACATTCCAACCAACTGAACCACACTAGCCAGGTCTATAGCACTCTATTTTAAGTTTATGGTCACTTATGTTCAAATGCATTCTAAAAACACTACTTTTGGGGGGCCCAGAGTTGTAAAAGAATAAATAAAAGCACCACTTTAAAAAAATTCATCCTAACATTTGTTTTTGATATCATATTTTACATCTTTTTATGTGTATATGTATTTCTTAATTCATTACTGTAGTTGCATTTGCTCTTACTACTTTCATCTTCTGATTTTCATACTAAATTTGTAGTCTGTTGATCCATTACAATTACTGAATGTCTACCTTTATCAGTGAGTTTTTTTCTTTCCTGTATTTTCTTATTTTTTAGTTTTGGCCTTTTATTTTTCACTTAAAGAAATCCTTTTAACATTCTTTTAATACTGGTTTAGTGGTGATGAACTTCTCCAGCTTTTGCCCGTCTGGAAATTTTCTGTTTTTCAGTTCTGAGTAACTGCTGGATAGAGTATTGCTGGTTGTCGGTCTTTCCTCTCATCATTTTAAACATATTATGTCACTCCTTCTGACCTTGTGTGCAGCTAGCTCCTTTTCTCTTGCTTCTTTCAAGATTCTCTCTTTAATTTTGGGCATTTTAATTATGATGTATCTTGGGGTGGGCTTCTTTGTGTTCATCTTTTAAAATATTTTCTATTGATTGATTTTTTTGAGAGAAAGAGAGAGCAACATCATTTTGTTGTTCCACTTATTTCTGCATTCACTGGTTGATTCTGGTATGTGCCCTGAGTGGGGATCACACCCACAACCTCGGAGCATCAGGACAACACGCTAACCAACTGCTCTGCCTGGCCAGGGCTGGGTTTATCTTTTCTGGGACTCTCTGTGCTTCCTGTACTTGAACGAGTTTCCTTCACCAGGTTAGGGAAGATTTCAGCTATTATGTCTTTAAATAGGTTTTCTGTCCCTTTTTGTCTTTCTCCGCTTTTTGGCACTCCTATGATTCAAATGTTGTCCCCAAAATTTCTTAAACTATCCTAATTTTTTTGGATTCTTTTTCTTTCTGCTGCTCTGATCAGGGGATTTCTACTAACTTGTCTTCCAGCTCACTGACTTGTCCGCATCAACTAATCTGCCATTGATTCCCTCTAATGTATGTGTGTGTGTGTGTGTGTGTGTGTGTGTGTGTGTGTGTGTGTGTATTTAATTTCAGTTATTGTATTCTTCAGCTAATGATTGGTTCTTTCTAATATTTTCAATCTCTTTTTGTTCTCACTAAGTTCATCTATTCTTTTCCTGTGTTCATTGAGCATCCTTATAACTTGTGTTTTTAACTTTTTATCTTTGGAGATTGCTTATCTTCATTACATTTAGTTCTTTTTTCTGGGCTTTTGCTCTGGTCTTTTGTTTGTAACATATTTTTCTGTCTCCTCATTTCAGCTGTCTCTGTGTGTTTGTTTTTATAAATTAAGTGAAACAGAAACCTCACCTGGTCTTGAAGAAATGGCCTTATGTAGGAACTTTCTCTTTGTAGACTGCATGTGCTCTGTGCTGGATATCTTTGGCAGGCTAGCTGGAGCTGGAGCTGGAGCTGGCAGGAGCCACAGGAAGACCTGGGGGAAAGCCAGGTCAGAGCTGGTGCTGAAGTGGGCAAGTACCATGTGGAGTCTCTGGGACAAGCCTTGTTGAGGCTGCTTTGGTGGGCTGGTTGTGGATCTAGTTGGAGACAGCTCGGCCATGCTAGTCCCTGGGGTAAGACCCTTTGGGGCCTGGAGCTGTAGTTGGAGCAGGTGTGGGCCATGGGGAATCTCAGGAACAAGCTGTGGAGCTGGTGTGGGCCTGGGGCCTAGTGCACTTACAGACTGCCTTGGTCAGTTGGCTAGAGCACCTGGATTGTGCTCCTGCCTGTGTGATCAAGAGGGTGGGGGAGGGCCCACAAATGGCCCTTTGACACAGGAGAGAGTTCCTGCAGCCCCCCTCCTGTTTGGTAGGTGCTCTAGTGGATTTCCTTTCCATATAGTCTACATGCTCTTTAAACCACTGGATTTTTTAAAAAATCTTCACCTGAGGATATGTTTATTGATTTTTAGAAGAAGAAAGGGGTGGGTATAGAGAGAAACATTGATGAGAGCGAGAAACATTGATCAGTTGCCTCCTGTACATGCTTAGACTGGGATCAAACCCACAACCTAGGTATGTTCCTTGACTAGGGATCGATCCTACAACCTCTTGGTGTACAGGACAGTGCTCCAACCAACTGAGGCACCCAGCCAGATCCCAAACCACTGTTTTTTTGTTGTTGTTGTTTTTTTACTGGCCTTTGAGTCTGTGAGCATGCCCTCCAGTGATCCCTCTCAACAGCAGGGAAGTATGTTGAGGGTAGGATATGGTATAGTATCTCCATTTTACCTATTGTTTCTTAAGTGGTCTCTCTCTTGTTGGTTGTGCAGAAGGTGTTCAATCAGCTTTCAGTTCTTCAGGGGCACAGCTCTGTTTGTAGGTATAAATTCTATGTGTTCAAGGAAGGAGATGAGTTCAGGGTCTTCCTATGCCCCCATCTTGGACTGGAACCAACACTTTAAAAAATGGTTTTTATTGTGGTAAACTACACATTCAGTATATTTTCAGTACACTGAAATATTTCAGTAAGTTTAGTATACTTCTAATTACTTTTTTTCTTATTACAAAGTCATTCTGTTGTTGTAGGAAAATCACAACATGCAGCTTAGTAAGAAAGTTGAAATAACTTGAAATCCCTCCTCCTAGACTGAAATACTATTAACATTTTAGCTGAGCATATTTTATCCAGTTTTCGTGTACATGAAGGGCTACCACCTCATACTGAACTCCAGGGGGCATCCTGTCCCTCCTTCTATGCTCTGTTAAGCTGTGTACTGTGTGCTCTATTACACATACTATACTTTTCAAAAAATGGAATCATCCCGGTTTTTTTTTTCTGGTAAGAAATAAACTAATGGCTGGAAAATATCTGGCACATTATAAATGCTCAACACCCTCTCTGGGTTCATTCACAAATATTTATTGAAGACCTCCTTTGTGCTAGTCACCGTACTAGACACTAGAGCTATAGCAATGAACAGAACAGACAAAACAAACAAACAAATAAACAAACAAAAACCCTGTCCTCATGCGGCTGACATACTAATAGAGGTAGTAATAGTTATGATCAATCATTTGTTTGTTAGGGGTAGATATCAAGGAGAAAAAATGAAGTCTGGAGAAAGGAGGGTAGGAGGTATGGATTGTGTGATTGTGGTCAAGGAAGAACTGACTGAAAAGGTGACTTTGAAGTAAAGGACTAAGTAAAGAGAGAAATAACATAGATATCTGAAAAAGAGTGTTTCAGGCAGAGAAAATAGCAGTGCAAAAGCCCTGAGGTAGGAATATGCCTGGGGTATTCTAGGAACAACAAGGAGGCCAGGGTGCCTGATGAATGGTGAGAGGAGAGAGTTGTAGGAAATGAGGACAGACAGATGTGGCACAGGGTAGAGGAAGGTAGCTCAGGACACGGGGCCTCATAAGCCAAGATAAAGCTGATTTAATCTGACCTTGCTATAGCTTTCGATCTGCAGTCAAACCCCAGCGATCCAAAACCTTTCCCATCAATCTGAGTCCCTACCACTGTGGCCCAACATCCAGGTCAGTATCCCCATTGCTGGTCCCTGACCTGGACCTGACACAAGCCAGGCACAGCCCAAGTTCTCAACTCTTACTCCCCTAGGCTTGCCCCATGGGGCTCCAGCAGCAGGCTCTGCCTCAGGATATTTGAGAAATGACACCCATGGCCACAGCCCTCACACACTTAACCACCTTCCATCATCCCAAGTGACAGGGAGCTTCAGCTTTGTATCTGGGGCAAATGTGTGAAGCCCTGCTGAGTCATCTCTTGTCATAAGAATGAGAGAGAGGTGGGAAAAAGACTCAAAGTGACAACAGAACTCAGGGAGTGTAGAATTTGGAGATAGAGGGAACGAGAGAATGTCTTTGAAGGTGGTAGGGGAGAAAGTCTTGTGATGCTCCGGGGGAACAGTATTCCAAGCAGAGAAACAGTCTTGGCAAAAGACCTGAGATGAAGCAAACCTTATGTGTTGGAGGAACTGAAAGGAGGCCAGTGTGGTTGGTTAGAAGTGGACAAGGGAGAGAGCAAGAGGAGGTGATGTCAGAGAAGAAATGAAAGGCCAGATGTATAAGGCCACTGTAAGGCCTTTGAATTTGGCTCTGGGTATGATAGGAGCCATTAGAAATTTTAGACCAGAAGAATGACATGATTACTCTGGCTGTTGGGTGAGGTTGGAAGGGGTAAGAGAGTGGGTGTAGAGAAACAGTGAGGGGGTTCCTGCAAAAATCCAAGGGAGAGAAGGTGGTGGCTTGTAACCAGTTGGGCTACATTAGAAATGGTAACAGGTGATCAGATTCCGGATATTTCTTTAGTGTAGAGATTTGTGATAGATTGGATGCAAGATCTGATGGGTCTGATTTTTGGACTTTTTGTCCTAAAAGAAAGAGGAAGCCACAGGATTGGTTTTAAGCACAGTTATGACATGTTTGCATTTGTTTTTTTTTAAATGTCATTCTAGCTGCAACGTAGAGAATAGACCGGAGGGGCAGGATGCAGCAGAGGACCAGTGAGGGTGGTGGCTTGGCCTAGGATAGAGTAGGGCTGGGGGTAAATAGAAAACAGCTCAGCTCTCCCCATCTCTGGGCCTTTGCACAGGATGCTCTCAATCACCCAAAAGCCCTTTACTACCAACAAACAGTACTATCTTCAAAACTCCAGGAAGTTCCTGTCCTAAGATTTCATAGCCTAGGATTTATTCTGTTCTAGCATTTATTATGCCAGGTTTTCTCTGACATCTGTGAACCCCTCACAGCTGGGCTCCATAGCCCAAGGCCCAGTATGGGATCTGAAGCAGAGAAGGCCTTAGAAAGCATTTGTTGAATGAATAAATGGAAAGAATGTGACTGAGGGAAGAGATCTTGCAAATCCTTTGTTATTGCTGTTTTTGGATTATAAAAATAATATGTGCTCTTTGTTTTAGAAAAGGTTTTTAAAAATTTTATTGATTATGCCATTACATTTGTTCTATTTCCCCCCCTCATTCCCCTCCACCCTGCAAACCCCTCCCCCACCGTTCCCCCCCTCTGTAGTTCATGAACACGTGTCTCAAGTTCTTTAGATTCTGTATTTCCCCCACTATTCTTACCCTCCCCCCTATCTATTTTCTATCTACGGTCTATGCTACTTATTTTCTGTACCTTCTCTCCCCTTCTCCTTCTCCCACTCCCCTGTTGCTAACCTTCCACGTGATCTTCATTTCTGTGGTTCACTCCTGATCTAGCTGTCCTGTTAGTTTGCTTTTGTTTTAGGTGTGGTTGTTAATAACTGTGAGTTTGCTGTCCTTTCACTGTTCCTATTTTTTATCTTCTTTTTCTTAGGTAAGTCCCTTTAACATTTCCTGTAATAAGGGCTTGGTGATGATGAACTCCTTGAATTTGATCTTATCTGAGAAGCACTTTATCTGCCCTTCCATTCTAAATGAAAGCTTTGCTGGATAGAGCAATCTTGGATGTAGGTCCTTGGATTTCATGACTTGGAATAGTTCTTTCCAGCCCCTTCTTGCCTGGAAGGTCTCTTTTGAGAAATCCGCTGACAGTCTGATGGGGACTCCTTTGTAGGTGACTGTCCCCTTAGCTCTTGCTGCTTCTAGGATTCTCTCCTTCATTTTAATCTTGGCTAATATAATTATGATGTGCCTTGGTGTGTTCCTTCTTGGGTCCCCACTTCTTTGGGACTCTCTGAGCTTCCTGAACTTCCTGGAAGTCTATTTCCTTTGCCAGAATGGGGAAGTTCTCTTTTATTATTTGTTCAAATAAGTTTTTCACTCGTGGCTGTTCCTCTTCTTCTTCTGGTACCCCTATAATTTGGATGTTGGAGCGTTTAAAGATGTCCTGGAGGTTCCTAAGCCTCTCCTCATTTTTTTGAATTTTTGTTTATTCATATTTTTCTGTTTGGTCATTCTTTCCATCCTTCTGGTCTGCTCCTTTGATTTGAGTCTCAGTTTCCTTCCCATTACTATTGGTTTCCTGTGCATTTCCATTCATTTCAATTAGTTTAGCCTTCATATGTTCCTCTAATTTGTGACTAAAATCGACCAGTTCTGTGATCATCCTGATCACCAGTGTTTTGAACTGTGCATCTGAAAGTTTGGCTATTTCTTCACCGCTTAGATTTATTGTCTCTGGGGCTCTGAGTTGTTCTTGAGCCATGTTTTGATCTGTTTGTGCCTGTTACGTATGAGGAGAGGCACCTTAGGTGTTCACCAGGGCGGGGCCACCCAGGTCGCTGGTTTGTGACGCTGTATGTGGGGGTGGGGTCAGAGAGGGAGCAATGGCAGTCCTCTCTTCTCTCCCGGTCCTCCTTACCGCTCGCTCCCACCGGTTTATTTGAGCGCAAATGTGTGAGACCGCTGCCCTATGCCAGGGCCTGTGCAGTCTGTCTCAATGCACGTCTCCTCACTGGTTTGTCTGTGTGCAAATGCACGACTTCAGACAACCAGCCGCATCGTGCCTTTCCTGGGTCCACTTGTAGCTACCCCGCACCTGGGATCCCGTCCTCGGCTGCTTGCATGCTGCCCAGGTCAGGGGATCTTTTTTGCCTGACCTGCTCCGCTGCTGGCTTCGCCCTTCTCACCGGTTTAGCTGAGTGGTTTGTTGTTTTCGGACTCTGTATTGTTCAATTTTCTGTGGTTTGGTTATGTTTATTGTTGTTAAAACTTTGTCGTTTTTAGATTTGGTTGTGCGAGGGAGCAAAGTGTTTCCACCTATGCCTTCATCTTGGCGGAAGTCCCTACATACTCAATATGTGCTCTTTATTTAAAAAAGAAACCGCCCTGGCTGGTGTAGTTCAGTGGATTGAGTGCAGCCCTGCGAACCAGATGAGTGCAGTTCGATTCCCAGTCAGGTCACGTGCCTGGGTTGCAGGCCAGTTCCCAGCGGGGGACACATGAGAGGCAACCATACATTGATATTTCTCTCCCTCTCTCCTCCCCTTCTAAAAATAAATGAATAAAATATTTTTTAAAAAGAAACCAAACATTACAGATATATGTCATAGAATGAAAGTCCCCCAGACTTCATTCTCTATACTGTAGAGAGAACTTGACATCTCTAGAATTTAGAAATAACCTAGAAATAAATCATGCATAATTCAGCAAAATCATCCCCCATTTGTTTAATATGTACACCAAAAATGAAATATTTAAGAGACAGAGATGTGGGAGAGAAAGAGGCTGAGGAAGACAGACTGCCTACTTGAGACAAATAAGATCTAACACAGACTGTTAGATCTTATTTGTAATTTACTTTTTTCTACTTGCATCATCATGACAGTCTTTCTATGTTAGTACATGTAAATCTATTCTATTTTGTTAAAGTTTAATAGTAGCCTACAAAATAGATTTTTTAATCAGTACAACCAACTTCCTATTTTTACTGTTATTTAATTTATTTTCTTCCCTTTTATATTAAAATATTTCTTGGAACATTATTGTTGCATTTATTTTGAGACACCAGATTTTAGAAGGGTAGTTGAAATAGATGTTTCTCTTGGGGTGGTCAGAGGACTTGACACTGTCTTATGGGGAATAATAGATATAACTGAGAAAAGAAGATTCAGGGGTGAAATGAGCCCTGGCCAAATTTCTGAAGGGACTTCCAAGTGGGGAAGAAAACAGACTTGTCCTGGGCATTTTCACAGGGAAAAACCTGTCTAAAGCATGGAAGTCAAGAAGAAGGCAAAATGGCGTGTAATACAACAAATCATTTTCCTAGAGGTGGTGCTACTGAAGACTCAGTGGATCTCCTGAAGAAGTCATGAGCATCTTGTCTCTGGAAGTGTAGAAGCAGAGCCTGGTTGGAGATTTAGTAGAAGGTGCCCTGGCTGGTGTAGCTCAGTAGATTGAGCACAGGCCTGAGAACCAAACAACTGCGGTTAGATTCCCAGTCAGGGCACATGCCTGGGTTGCAGGCCAGTTCCCAGCAGAGGACGCACGAGAGGCAACCATACGTTGATGTTTCTTTCCCTCTCTCCTTCCTCTCCCCTCTAAAGATAAATAAATAAAATATCTTAAAAAGAGGTTTAGTAGAAGGTAATATGTAAGGGATTCTGTGAAATGGTGGAGAGCTGAATTAGGTGATATTCAGGAGTCCCTTTTAAATCTGAAATTTGTTACTACACGTCTAGTCAAAAGTATCATAAAGGATGGCAAGGGAAAGTTGGCATGATGCCTTCAGGACTGGGAAGATTTTGACAAGTGGTGATGGAGAATGTACATTTCAGGCAATAATAATAGGCCAATGAGGGATAGAGGAAGAAAAGTATGAAATGAGGCTAAAGAAAGTTTGAGCCAAGTTATGAAGTAAGATTGAGCTGTATGTACCCCAGGTAACAAGGAATTTTGGTGCTTCTGCTTAGCCCTACAACCTCTCCTTGAGAGCTATTTCCTCACCCATGGGTTGAGGATGAGGTAGCCAAATGCTGGTTTGTGTTTAGGATTTGACCCTGTTCCCTTGGCCACAACTGATTGCTGTAGGGTGGAGATTTGACTCCAGCTATCCCAATCAGATTCTCCCTCCTAATAGTGTAGAAATTCAGAGATCTTAGCCTTTCAGTCTTTTCAATTAAGTATAGGTAAAGTCGAGATGAGTTTGCCACTAGGGGCAGCCACCATCAACCTTTGCTGAGGAGGAGAAAGGCGGCCTGCAGAGAGAGAGAGAAAGATGTGGGATATGTGGTGCCCTTCTAATCACTTGGTGCCCTTCTAATCACTTGGAAGACTGTATATCCTGATTGTATTGGGGTTCCTCTAAGGTCTTCATGATATCCTTTCAACATATTTGTCCTTTTCATTTAGCCAGCTCAAATGAGCTCCTATTACTTGCCACAATATGAGATTTGACTAAGATCATCTAAATTTATATGGAGTCATCCAAGTGATTGAAGGGAGTCACCCACAGTTCCTGAAGGAGCTCCAAATGTTCAGCTGCAGTAGTTGTGTCAGAAGGGGTTCAGAAGAATCTGATTGGTGGTGAGATGGGGGAGGAAGCCTTGCTAATCTTTTAGATACTAGAGATAGCTGCTACTTCCCACAAACACTTCACCTCCTTATGTAGCGCAAGCACATCGTGCAGTAATAAGTCTCCAGGTTCTGTTTGATTTGTTTCCTAGATAAACTCAAGCTACTTAGTGAGAAGACTAGGTAGCTTTCCTTCTACCCACTGAGGTAGAGTGATATAAGGGAGTTCTCTTTCCTAGATATAACAAATAAAATACACTGGGCATAATGATATCCCCATGATATATGTAGCGGGCCAAACTTAGGTTTAGGCTCCTACTGAAGTTTAAGAATGACTGGGCATGCCTGGAGAACAAATAAAAGTGACCCTACAAAAAACCTTTTCAGGAGGGAGCAGAGGAACTTCCTAAAGTTGGGTGGGGGTGCAGGCGGAGACTCAGAATAAACTTGATCCAGGAACAAAGACTTAGTTGTCAGAGGTGAATAGTGATCCTTCACATACATAGCGGCTATTTTTCAAGTATATGTCCGGCTCAGCCCCCTGAATATAAATCAGGGTTCAAAAGAGACAGATTAAGAAAAGAAACATAAGTAAAACCTGAAAGAGCAACTTCACTAGACTGTACACACTAGAGCCCAAGAAGTAGCACCTGGGGACACCTCTCTCATAATGTAACTACAATCAGAGAGAGTCTCCTCAACTCTACCACAGTCTGCCCTCAGGTTTGGCCTTTTCACGGGTTTGAGGCCAAAAGTCAAGAATTGCTATATCTATATCTCCTAGGACAAAAGAAACAAAGGAAAAATAAACAAATGGGATTACATTAAACTGACAGGCTTCTGCACAGCAAAAGAAGACATCAACAAAATGAAAAGGGAACCCAGTGTATGGGAGAGCATATGTGCCAAGGATGCATCTGATAAGGAGGTAATTTCCAAAATTTATGAAGTGTTTATACAACTCAACACTTTTCCAAAGAGTACATACAGATGGCTGATAGACATATGAAAAAATACGCAACATCATTAATCATCAGAGAAATGCAAACTAAATCCATGATGAGGTATCACCTCACACCTGTCAGAATGGCCATCATCAATAAATCAATAAACAATAAGTGCTGGCAAGGATGTGGAAAAAGGGGAACCCTAGTGCACTGTTAGTGAAAATGCAGACTGCTACAGCCACTGTGGAAAGCAGTATGGAGTTTCCTCAAAAAATTAAAAATGGATCTGCCTTTTGACCCAGTGATCCCACTTCTGGGAATATACCCTAAGAATCCCAAAACACCAATCGGGAAGTAGATATGCACCCCTATGTGTCATAGCAGCATTATTTACAATAACCAAGATTTGGAAACGGCCCAAGTGCCCATCAGTAGATGAGTGGATAAAAAAGATATGGTACATTTACACAATGAAATACTGCATGACTGTAAAAAAAAAAAAGGATTCTTACTCTTTGCAAAAACATAGATGAACCTGGAGATCATTATGCTAAGCGAAATAAGCCAGTCAAAGACGAATACCATATAATTTCACTTACATGTGGAATCTAATTAACAAAATAAACTGATGAACAAAATAGAACCGGAGGCATAGATACATGGAACAGACTGACAGCTGTCAGAGGGGAGTGTGGACATGAATGAAAGTGAAGAGATTAGCCATACAGGGTCTGGCAGAAGCAACACTGTTGAGTGTGGTTGGTAGGGTACATGAATGTCTTGCACAAGATAGACAGCAATTTGAACAGTTCATCTAAAATGTCATATGGTGTGCTTGAGTGTGATATTGTTATGTTACAGAATTACATGGTTATCATTTTGTAATGAAAGATTTTTATGTAATAAAAGAGGGCTGATATTTGTGCCAGGCCTTGCATAGGCATAGCCCATGGCCAGGGAAGAGAGAGGGCGGGGGCTGGATGGAGGTGTACCAAGGAAAGGGAAAGTGGGTGACATTTGTAATGGTTTCAACAATAAAAAGAAAATGCAATATGTAAGGTCTTGGCTATAGGACAATAGCCAAGGTGTGAGCAGGAGCCGCTCACGTGCCAGGGAATGGAACACAAGTAAAATACCACTGGATTCTCTGAAGTTAGTTACATGGGAATTTGCAGGAAGCTAGAGACCTTTTACTAGCAGGTGGGAATAATAAGGCAACAACATGGGAATATTAAGATTAATATGATGCTATTTCAACTCACAGCTTGGTGAGTCCCACAGAAATCTGAACTACATACAGAGGAAGGAACCAAGACCCGAGGAGGTGAAGAAACTCATCTGCACAACATGGCAAAACACGTTGCCAGGAACTGGTTCCCAGGTCTCTGTCCTGAACTGTATGCTCTTTTGACCTCAGAAATTAATCACATGCCTAGAAGCTGGAAATGGAGCCTCTGGAGTGAGGTCACCCCATGACAACTGAGCCCCATGGACTGGACTATATGTGAACATCTAAGGCATGCCATCCTTACTTAGCAAATCCCTACCTGTGGTGTGTTCAGCTCAGCCCTCCCTCAGAAAATTTTGTGGGAATTTTTAGAGTTTTCCAGAACTTTAGAATGCCCTGGCCCAACTTAGCCGTGATATCATAAGGGCCTTGGAATAGGGCGATGGCCTCCGAGCCCACCTGCTGTGGGCCTGATGGATTAAAGGGACATTGAGAATCCACCCTGTTTTTGCCCAAGCTGTAACGTTTGTTGTAAGAATGAAATATGGGCATGCTGCCTCCCAGGGAGAACTGGCCCTTCTCCCTGGGGAGATTAGTACTTTTAATATTTAACTGTTCCTTCAGGGAGAACTGGCCCTTCTCCCAGAGGGACCTGTTGGTTAGTCACGTCACACAAGGCCCTTGGCGCATAGCCACTTTTGTCTAAAACGTATTTAACCATAGCCCCCCAAAGTGAGACTTGGGAATCTCACTTGAGAGGAGGACACTTTGCTTGGAACTTTTCCCGGTCGGACCCCGAATGCCGTCTCCAGAACTCTCCAGTGTGTGTTTTTAGGTGTTGGTGATTTCCCATCTGGTGATGTATGATCTTGATTCTTGCTTTCACTTTGCTCTCACTTAATAAAGTGCTTAGCTATTCAACTTTGAGTTGGGGTTTTTATTGTCTGCAAATCTGAACCTCCAAATTAAGTGGCCTCAATCTTGTGTGTGCCCCTTAATGGCACAGGGCCCTTCTGGGCTTCAGTGACTTCCTCTCCTCTTCTCTGAGGCAGGTGGGAAGAAAGGGAAAGATCACTGTGGTGACTCAGATATTTGTGTCAGAACCATCCTGACAAAAATGGCCTTTGTCACTGTACCCAGGAGGAAGCAGTGGGTGGGGAGCCTGGGCCAGGAGACAGCAGTTGAGGGCAATGAGCAGCATTTGCACCAGGAAATCTTTTGTGTGAATCTGAAGAGAGAACTTTGCTCTCACGTGTAAACAAGGGGTTCTATGGAAAGTAACCTCACAGGGCGACCTGATTGTTAATTCCTAACAGCAAGTGATGGTGGGTAGTCACAGCCCCAGCCCTGTACTTCTTTAGTAAAAAGCTTATTTTTATCTTAAGCAAGCCCTTCCATTGTTTCTATGCCTTTAGGTTAACACACCATTGAAATGCCCCCTTTCAGACCTCTCCTTCTAAAGTAGATCACCCATAAGAAAGCACATAATCTTAACTATCCGTGTGATCTTTCTTATGGTCGCTTTTTAATTTCTTTTTAAAAAGATTTCATTTATTTATTTTTAGAGAGAGGGGAAGAAAGAAAGAGAGGGAGAGAAACACGGATGTGTGGGAGATACATCAATTGGTTGCCCCTCGAATGCCTCCAACTGAGGACCTGGCCTGCAACCCTGGCATGTGCCCTGACTGGGAATCAAATTGGTGACCTTTTGGTCACCAATCTACTCAATCTACTGAGGCCGGCACTCAATCTACTGAGTGTACAAGAGAGAAAGAGTCAGACCAGCTAGCACTCACGCCTTAATTTCCAATGCACAAAAGAAACTGCAAAACTGTTATTCTTTGGAGCATTTGAGATCCTGCTCCCCAGCATATGTAGTCAGTTTGACTCAAATAAACTCATACAAATTCTCCACATGTTTGGATGTTTCTTATCTCAACACCTGATTAATGCTAGGTTTGTAGGCAGTCAAGCCTGGTGGGTTGGGTGGGGGTAGGGAGGCCTCAGCCTGCTTTTTCTGTTGCACTCCACATCTGCCAGAGGCCCACAGGTCCCCAAGTACACCCAGAAGCTCACTGCTGTCACACCCATGATTTTCTACATTTTATTCATTCAAGAGCCACAAGAGAGAAAGAGTTCAATATGAGAGTATATGTGGGCTAGGACTAGAGGGGCTGTTGGGAATGGAGGTAGCTTTCCAAGTTATCACTGTTCCTCATTTGATGACCTCGCCGGTTCTCCCTCACGTCTACTTCTCTATAGTTCTGCACCATTCTCCCTTTATTTATACCTGGTCAATTCTCTCTACATTTGTGGAAGGAACCAACTGGTTGCTTACCTGCCTCCAGCTTATTATTTATCTTTATATATTTATTAAGTAAATTCCTGACTCTAGAAATTTGGCATTCTTTTAACTCCTCCAACCTTTCCCTTTTGGGGATACAGCTTATTGCTTCTGAGAGCCTAGACATTGGAAAACAAGAAGCTTCCAAACTGTCCTCAGGGGCAAGGCAGCCCCAAGCAACATTCACTCACTCAGTTAATATTTACTGAGTGTGTATTTACCTACTCTGCTCCAGGCACTTTTTTAGGTACTGAGGATAGAGCAGTGAATAACAACAAATAATATTAATGTCCCAGGGGAGTTTATATTTTAGTAGGGAAGATGGACAATAAATTGGATGAATAAGTAAATTGGAAAGCATAAACAGAAGTCTCTAATTGTTAAGGATCAAAGATCTAAAGGAGATAAAGGCAGAAGCCATAAGGCTTTCTTGAGAAAGTCAAGCAAGAGAGCAGCAGAGTGAGTACAAATGCCCTGAGGCAGAGTGTGCTGGAATGATAAAAAAGACTGGCTGGAAATGAGTGAGCTAGAGAGAGGGCAGGGTTAGAGAGATAATGAGATATCTGATAGGTTAAGGCTTTGTGGGCCACATTGAGAACTGAGGTTCGTAGTTAGAAGGAAATGGAAAGCCAATGGAGGGACCTGAGTAAGAATGTGACACAGTCTGACATAGTTTCAAAGGATCCCTCTGGCTGCTGTACAGAGAATAGGCTGTAGCAGGGGCAAGGGTGGAAACAGGTAGACCAGTTAGGGGAGTGCCACAAAATTCAGGAGGCAGAAGATGATGGTTTTTTGGACCAGGGAATGACCAGTGATGACAATGAGAAATGGCTGGACACAAAATCCTGTTTACTCTCTTAAGTGGAGCAATAGAAAATTCTCTCTCACTTTTTATTGATAAATATATAGAAAAATAAGACATTATTACAATAATTTTACTTTACAAAGGACACTTGAGGTATTGAGACTTCTGGCTCTGTCTTAGATGCACAGATTCCGTGTGCCCCGGAACTTCCCAGTCTAGGATCTCATTTGTCATTCATCTATGAGATTATACGTTCGGAGTCCATTTTCATGATCTTGTATGGAACAATTCATAGTAAGTAGAGTAACCGAGCCATCTTGAAGAGAGCTAGTATCTGTAGAGTTCAGTCTATCCATGGCTACCTTTGCCCTGAGCATTAATTTCAGGTCGGTCAGCCATCACCTGACCAGCAGGATCAGTTTCATATTGTTCATTTGATGAAGCCAAGATGACATCATATAGAAAGCACCTACTGAAACTGCTTTCCTTAGAAGGGGCTGCCAGTATGGCCAGTGCTTCAAGTTTCATACACTCCTCTATGGATACTTGGTCTATTTGAACACTGATGAGAAGCTTTGTAAGTTAGAGCATGGGGTATGGAGAAGCAATGAGGCTCTTGAAAGCCATGCCAATGAGCTTGGACTTGATTTTGTGTATGCAAAAGGGGAATCATGAGAGGTTTTAAAGCCTAAGAGAGAGATGATCAGATTTCTGAAGATGAATTTGGTAGTACCTGAAAGATAAAACCTTCTCTTGGGACGGCCAACTGAGGAAAGGAAACTAGAATGGCGGTAATGGTTCTGTTGACACCTGATGGAGTTGCAAACAAAAGGAATAGAAATGAGAGATAGTTCAGAGGATTTGGGCCCTCAGAGAATGACAGTCTGAGATATGATGAAGTCAGCTTTGACTGAGGAAGAAGTGTGTGTGAGTGCAAGGCACATCCTGCCTCAGGACATCCACCCTGCCTCTTGGGCTGAGAGTTCTGCAGCCCCAGTCTTCAGGGGAATTTCCTGCTGTCTGGGCATTGAGCCCCTGACTAATTTCCAGAATCCTTGGGGCTTACTTGTAGTTTGTAGCTTCCTCAGCTTTATAGTCCTTAACCAGAACAAGAAAAAAGTATTCTTTTTTCTTCAACAGAACATGATAAATATGTAAATGAGTATACTTTGCCTGCTGAAACATACACATAACCTGTAATCCAAGCAGTAGAGACTTTGAGATTATTTCCAGAATTCCTGTTATCCCAGGCGTTGCTATGATATGCTTACAGCTTCTAGAAACTTAATTGGTAATTCAAGCATCCCAATTTTAAAGATGGCCTAAAAAAAACCCTTCACATTGGAGGTGGCTAATTTGACTGTTAATTCTGAGTTAGATGTTCTCTGGTGAGATAATTAGCTTTTCCAAAAAGGTCAAACCTGTACGGTTAACTAAAACGAACAATTTTTTTTGTCATAAAGAATCCATGGCTCTAAATTGTTAACAATGGTTATTTTTGAGATTTAGGAGCAGGAGGTAAGTTATCATCTTTTTACTCTATATATTTCTGTAACTTTTAAATTAAAAATATATATATGTTTTTAATTTCATAACAAAACAGAGAACCTGGTTAGATGTACATGGGAACTGCTACATAATCAAAGGAGTCACTCTGAACTGTCTGATTTTAAGTGAATTTGGAATAGACCATCTGACTTCATCCAATTACCAGGCACCAACTTGGCACGTTGAAGCTGCCTGGCAGTACATTAGAAATAATCTACCTGCAAAAGCCTTCCCTGGGGCAGTGACCTTTCAGGTTGAGCAGGCTTTCCCTGCAACACAGGGAAAATCTCAACATCCCTTCCACTTTCCCATAAACAAATGCAGTTCCTCTATTCTGTTGTGTTTTTAATATTTTCATTTTTCCAAAACTACCCATTTTACATCCTCTTTGTAAAAACATTTTTCAGACAATAAATGTATAAGCCTTACTCTGTTTGGAGTTTGGTTATGTCTTTTTGGATTTGTTTTACACTCATATACACACACTTAATTTCAACTCCTATTTTTCATTTTTTGAGATATAATTCACATACCATAATATTACAGTTTTAAAGTGTACAATTCATGGTTTTTAATATGGTTATAAAGTTGTACAACAATCATCACTATCTAATTCCAGAACAATTTATTGCCCCCAAAAGAAACCATATACCCACTAGCAGTCACTTCTCTTTCCGTACTCCTCCCGTCCTCACCACCACTAATCCACTTTTTGTCTCTATAAGTTTGCCTATTCTGAACATTTCATTGAAATGGAATCATACAACATGTGACATTTTGTGCCTGACTTCTTTAACTTAATATAATATTTACAAAGTCTATCCATGTTGTAGCATATACCAGTACTTTATTCCTTTTTATGACCAAATAATATTCCACTCTATGGACACAAACCACATTTGTTTATCTATTTATCAGTTGAATGGGCATTGCATTGTTTCCAGTTTTCCTGATACGAATAATGCTGATATGAGAATTCACATATAAGTTTCTGTATAAACATATGTTTTCAATTATTTTGGGTCTATACCCAGAAGTTACTAGATCACATGGTAACTCTATGTTTACCATTTCTCTTTTTGGACAAACTGTCAAAATGTTTTCACAGTGGCTGCACCACTTTACATCCCCACTGGCAAAGCACAAGTATTCCAATTTCTCCACACTCTCTCACGCTTGTTATTTTTCTTTCTTTTTCATTCTAGCCATTCTCATGAGCATGAA